ATGTAGTCAATGTAGCAAGTACTGTATAAGCTTTTGCCATAATTTATTACTTAATTCTTGTCCCATGAATGTCCCATTCATGATCCACACATACACAGAGTAAGTACTGAGGATTTTCAAGTACAGAGTAAGTGTGAGGATTTAAATAATTTCAAATTGTGCATTTCATTTGTCACCATTTTTAGCATACTGTATGTCTGACCACAGCCATGTTCAACATCCACCATATACAATGGGATTAATTTAAATATATTCTTCTTCAGCTGGACTGATGTGTCAAGGTACAGTAAAACGATGTACAGTATAATTACAACACATTTTTTACAAAATTAACTTTTTGCTTCATCATTTGTAGGTTTTACATTTAGGTTACTATGGGATACAGTATTGGCTAAAATATATTTTAAATACTTTTTGCAGTGAGTATATGTCCAGTATTAAATCTCTGGGAACTGCCAAAACCCGTCTAATTCACCTGTTTCTCAGAGCTGTACAGTGAAGCCAATAGCCAACTGATGTAACCCAGAAACTGTTCAGCAACTGGAGACACAATCCCGAGTGTCCTTGCACAGTGCAGAAGAATTCATGAATATTAAACACATTATAATTAACATTACCAATGCACAGGTGTTCAAATTATAAATTAAATTATATCTAACTGGTAACCCCATAGCTATTGAAAATGTAGGCCTCAGACAGGTACTATAGCTATTGACCAAGCTAGTAAATTTTAGAAATCTAAAGCTCAAGAAATAGGAAAACTGCTGGACTGAATTCACTATTTTGCATTTCCAAAACCTGTTTTTATTTTTTGTATGACCTATTAATAAAAGAGAGGAAGATAATGGATCACAACTCCTAGGCCTGCACGTGTATCTGTAAACAGAAAGCATTTCTTAGAAAAACTAACTAAACACGTGTAGAATACTCCCTGGTGTATGTTTCACCATGTTTGAGCAATCAGTTTTACTGTTAAAAATTAAAAAAAGAAAAACATAAAGCTAAAATTTCTGCAAATTGGTGAATATATGCCCTACCGTGAGTCCTAGAAGGCAAATGAAGACATTAAGAACAAAGTGAAGACAGGCATTGGTAGGGAACTTAAAAAGCGTGCAATAAAATAAATGAGTCTCATTTGCTAAAAGATTATGGCATCAGCGCTATCTGTTTCCTGGGCTTCTCACCTGAACTTCGTTGTGCTGAAACCCCATAGCTACTTCTCTGCACAGCAGGCAGAATGCTTGGCCTATTTACTGGCAGCAAGATGCCATGGAGACCCAGATGCCTTTGTCAGCTTTTCAAGCACAGGAAAGAAAGATAACTAGCAGACAACTAAACCCTAGGAGTCAAGAAGGCTTACAGATCAAGCCAGTGCTACAAAAGAAGCTGAACTTACGGGCTTTATCCTTTGAGCCAAGCCTATTGATGAAAAAAAGAGATTGTTTCCTTCCCTTTTGTTAAGTAAAAAAGTAATAATGACAACAGTGTTACAGACACACACCAAAGTAAAGACCATAGAAAGCACAAAGATAAGTAAAAAACAGACAGTGAGAAAGAGGAAAATAGACAGAGAAAGTGGGATTCACATAAGGGATTTATCTTGTTTTAAGAAATATTGAATGTGTGATGGCTACATTGGTGACCAATGCCCAAGTGAGCTGTAAGACCTGGGCCCGATTGTGTTATAAATGATTATTATGCAGCTTATAATAGAATATATTTTATAGTTTAATTCTGAAAGTTTTTCATAACCAAATAATTTTCTCCAAATATATGAGATACCTATTTTGTAGTAGACACGGTAATGATTTTACTAAATGAGAAGGTGTTTGCTTTAAAAAGATGTTGCTGCCTTGCACTGCTTGGCTAATTTTAAAACTAATGGCAACTATGCGCAATGTACCAATTTCCTCTTGCATTTTTTAAAGATTTTTAAGTCTGATTTATAATTCCTGTTGTTGTTTGTGGATTCCAATTCTTTATTCATAATTGGCTGTATAGACCATTGTAATATATTTCTGCAAAATAGCTTTGCAATGCCTGCGAATCCGTAGAATTGATGCCTGTTCATGAAGTATTTAATTAAAAAAGAACATAAAGGAAAACTTGTGAAAGTCTGTTTTATATATCTCACTCTGTCTGAGCTCTGTGTGAATGCTTGTTTGGCATGTTCAAAAAATAAAAGTTCCAGTCTGCCAAGGACATAGTACAGAGAATTCTTTTCAAAACCCAATATTTTTATCACTGAATAAATGCTACACACCCACATTAAAATTAAATGAAAATCAGGCTGAATATGCTAATGGAGTAAAACAATTACACATATGTTATCCACATGAAGAATTGTACACATCTATATAAAAATAAACTCAGTTGCACAACTGGTTGCTGGAGAAACAAATGCATTTGTATAACACAGCAAAAAGAATTAGCAATATAAAGCTTTACTTCCCTGCCAATCATTGTTGCTCTCTGTACCAAGCTGTAATTATACTGTAGGATTATTGCAGCAATTACAGTTCATTGTGTGATTTTCAGATGGATTACATGCTTTGACTGTGATTTAGAGATTGGAATGAATCTGTGAAAACAGTATTTTACAGGATCAATATTTACGGGTTTAGGAGTAAATGATGGAACAGCCATTTTGTGCATGAATGCATACAGCACATGAACAGTTGTAAGGCAAGTCTTTGTTTGTGCAAGCTACTAAACAACCTTACCTTCTTTCCTTTACAAAACATCAGCACTAGAAACAAATGAGAAGAGCTTGGAATTTATGGGAGCAAAGCCAGTTCAACCACAAACCAGGTTAGTAACTTTCATTAATTGTTCCCTGAAAATTAGTCTCAGTATTATTATTACACTAACAACAATACGTCATCTTGGGTGCCGTAAACTGTATGCAAGACACCAAACTGCATTTTATTCCATTTCTTGTGCATTATTCCTCTAAAAAATTGAGAAAATAATGGAATTCTATCCAAGGACTTAATGGGAGATACCTTGAGAAATTTTGCTGACCACTTACTGTCTTGGGAGCTCTTTTATAGTGTCTTTCATTGGGTCTCCCAACAGAAAAGGGTGCTGCATGTAGGCATGAGTACCTGGCACCTGCATGCCTTGGATTTTTGCAGTCATGCATTCAATCAAGGGAATTGCTTCTGACTGCAGCAGAAGTGGGCAGGTTGGAAGAGACACATGGCAAAGGAAATGCCACAAACAAGATGCTTTGGCAGAGTAATCGGAACACTTCTGAAAAATTTTGTTTACACCTTTCTTACTTTTCACGAGGAAGAAGAAAGCTCCCTGCCACGTGAGCCGAGCATTATGTATTTAACTGAAACACTTATATATATTTTTTTTAATTGCAGTGCTGCAGCAAATTCTTTTCAATTAATAGCTGGGTACCATAACAACACTTTAACCAGGATGGTAATTAAAATCCCATTCAAAAAGGAATCCCTAAAGCTATTATCAATCTACTAGAATCAATGCTAATAAATATTGGAACATAATTCAGGGTTCAAAGCAATCATATCCTCTACCGGTGATTGTGGATGAGTTATGACATTACTTTTCCCAATTAGGCTCAACACTTCCCAGCTGAAGCTGATGTTGCCAAGCTAAAACTATGTATACTTACAACAAAATGTTTTAGTTTTTAAATGAATGAAAAAGTTTTCTCTGATTTCTGATTTCATTATACCTTTTAATGCAAGCTGGTTTAAAATGTTTGTTTAAAAACATATTTAAGCGCAGAATAACTTGAATGTTTGTGCTATACAATATGTTGTCAGAAGAATACTTGAGGGCAAAGGAAAAAAAATGTAGCGCACTTAAGGTTTTTAGAAGACTGCATTTTGCATTCAAAAACCCATTTCTATGGTAATTGTAAAATGTTGTCATACAGCAGTTCATGCTAGCAGGACACCTATCGTGATCTGCTTTTGACTTATTTCCTATCAACTGAATTTGCCCAAACAAACAGAAATAATTCCTTCACCCCAATGAACACCCTGGAGAAACACTGACCATGTCCCAGCCCATCAATTTAGTATGAAAGCAATTCAATTCTGCTTGACCAAAATCAGTTTCTTTTGTTCCAAAACATGCAATCACCCCCGGCATTTTGCAATTGCTGTTTTAAGTGCTTTGGTTTTATTTTTCAAAGTCTCTTTTGAGTGAGCAAACTAGAATGGCATTCTCTTCATGTATTCACCAGATTCACGAAAATAACACTTAAAAAAACACTACTCTCTTCCTTGCACGATACATGGCAAATTAAATTGATATATGAGCCCATGTCTTCTTTGACCTACAAAGTGCACTGTGAAACATTTTCTGTCTTCAAGGAAACTTGTCAAACCCCGCCTTTTACTGTAGAATAACGGTATAACTAAATGATGTGCATCTGTTGGGTTATTTAAAAGAAATAAACAACTTGCATTACTTGTGAAAGACTGCACCATAAGAAACAACTGCATTCCTTATGAAAGACTGCACCACATTTAAACATTAAATATTAGCAGTTATCATGTGAATTAAAGAAATAAGAAACACATATTTTTGATTTCTAAACATAATTCAATTTGTTCAATCAATAGAGTTGTTCACCATGTACTGTTGGTAGAATCATGACGTTATATTATAAATGATCTATCTAATATTATATTTAATGTACTCTTCCTGGAAGATTCCGAATCTTTGCTTACAAAAACCTAACAAAACCTAAATATGCACTTCACAGTCATGCTACAATACTGAACTTCTCGGACCATCCCACAAAAAGACATGAACTGGAAAACAACACAAACGACGTCTTTGCCTAGTTGGAGACTCAGCCTGACTGCTTTAGAATAGATCTGCACCGAAACAGCTGCAATAGCTTGCAGATAGACCTTCATTCCCAAAATGCTTTACCGTAGTGATAACTACATGCATATCAAATATACACTGATAATTCACAACAAAACAATGTGGTAATAAGAGCAATGTACCGTTGGCTCTCTGGCAGGTGGCTTTCCTCTCCGGCTGGATGCAGTGGTGGTGGTGATTTCCATGATGGAGGTGGAGGTTTCCGAATGGTTTGCGGTGGCACTGGACTCCGTTGTCATTGAGGATGGGGATTCCCCGACCAGGCGCACACTTCCTTCGATCTTGATGTTGGGGTCACTTTCCACAGCCATGTTGAGCACCTTCAGCCCATTGTAGTACAGACCAGACAGCTGGCCCTGGAATGGACGGCTTCTGTCCTTGCCTCCAATTTTTATAGTTGTTTGGCTATTGAAGATAGTAAGTTGGCGGCCTGTGAAAACAATGTTACATACATACGGAAATGTTGACTGTGGACTCCATAGTTCCAGGGAGGATGATGGATAATAATCACATCAAAAGACGGATTATTCATGGAGTGGCTAATGATAGCAATAAATTACCTACAAGCTTTTCAAGCAAGTAATTTATTACCGTTGTGATGAAATGCCTATGGAATGCAAATTTAAAGAAAATAATATTTATAATATCCTAAATTAGTGTGGTTTTGCTAAAAGGACAATCACATCCATATTATAATAGCACAACTTCCTAAAAATGTATCTCACTGAACCAGTTTTCTAGAATAAGATAAGAAACATTTAAGGAAACCTTTGAAATTAATCTTGGTATCTACAGTATGCTAAATATTTATCTAACATATTCTTATGCAGGCTAATGAAAAGAGATCGTATACCACATGTTTACCAATTTATTGCACTGCATATATTGAGAGTATGTTATACAAAGACATTTTCACTATGGAGGAATGTGATCTAACTTTGGAAGTACTTATTGGAGTACCAGGAAAATGTTACTGAAGTTACTAAGCCCCAGAATGTTTTTCAAAAGTTGGTTAAAGTAATATTAATCAAGCTGTTAACAGAAAAAGGGTTAAAAGGAAAATAGGATTATCATCTTTAAAGATGCAGTCAGTTGATCTGTATTTGATTTTATTTACCACTTGCATTTCATGTGGAGGTAAGAGTTACAGTATGTAGCATGTTTCAGTTTTGTCAGTAAAAAAAGATTAGGTTTTGTGAATGATACAGTACCTGCCCCATTAACCTTTTTTTACAAGCTTTGAGTGATATTACTGCTGACATTGAAATGTCTATCCCGCCAAATTTCATGATAAATGATAAATTTCATGATAAATGTACCCAGATGTCTAAAATATCTCCTTTCATAAAATGCCATCTCTTTGTTGTTCAGACAGCAAATGACATGTGGAGATAAACATACAGTATACTGTACCGTTGTATATTCAAAACTCTTAGGGGCTGAAATTCTCACTGCTTTCTATTCCTATTAAAATACCTAAGGGTTTTGAATATAAGGCCCACTGGGTTCTTTAGAGAAAGTGTATCGTAGACAACTAAAAGGTAAAGATAGGTAGGTTTCCTCCATGGTCTGAATTCTTAACAGTAAGAAAAAGTACTTTGCACCACTTACTGAAGTGCACCCACAGTTAAACGAAGCAGTGCACCAATGCAGTACATGTGACCTGCATACGTCTGATTGCCTTTCAGCAAGAGTGAGAAGTTAAAACATATAAATTAGATGTAAAGGTGACTTTAATAATGAGACACATAAAAATGATAACTTATGAGAATATTTCCATTAAAAAAGAAACAGAAAAAAAGCAAACCTTAAAAAATATAATTATGACACATTTCGTTTTGAAAATACATCTTTAGTATAGACAAAAAAGGCATGCACCAAAATTAGTGTTTTTATTTTTTAATAAGTTTTCTTGTTCGTATATCCCTCAGTATATTTACAGTATTTGTTAAAGGGACTTCATTTCTGATGCCAATTAATATTGCACTCTATTTAAGATAGCTATAAGTTTAAACAGTGCGAGTTTTCATGATCCATAATAAAAAAAATAGTCTGCTAATTGGACCTTTTTAGTTGATAATTTAGATGTTTACAGCAGGAAAAGACTAGGAATAATTTATATATTTTTGTTAATAATGCTAATATTACTTCAGAAAGATTGATTTAGAAGATTATATTTACAGTCCCTTTAACCTGAAGTTAGCAGGGCAGACTTATTAAACAGCTGATATTTCTTAATAGATAAATAAATTATTATGCAAAGTATGCAAATATTACAAGCTATATTTTACTCTTTTAAAAATTTTGTTTTATTTAGTTTTACTGGTGATTTATATTTTAAGTTTATTGGTGTTACAATGTATTACTTGGTTATGTTCAAATTATTTTTATTTGAAGTTTTAATCAATGTTTTTACCTTTGTCGAGTAGCCATTCATCAACTACTCGACCAAGTCGATATGGGATTCGCTGTCTAGCAATCGCCAGGCGTTCGTTATCATTGTTTCCTTTAAAGTTTAAAGAGACATTTCATTGGTTAAAATCTGTAAGGTCAAAGGTTAAATGTTAATACTTAAAGCTTGAGCTATACAACTGCCACATGATTTTTTTTTGTAATTTTGGAAGTTTAAAAAAAGCTACCTAAAACATTTCATTGGTCAATCTTTTCATTCAGTCATTTAATTTTATTTTAGCAGACAAATTATTCCTATATTAATTGAAAATTAGAAAGCTGAATTTTCATCTAGGTTATTGATGTTAAGTTATAAAACAACCCAAACAACAAATTTAAACATATCCATAGCATAACTCTACAACAAAATACTCAAAGGATTTTTTTCTTTCTTTTTTTTTGCAGAATTTTTCTTTTTTCTCCTCTTTTTAGCTAGTTAAACATTGCTCAGAAGAAACATTTTTATTTATTATTTTTCAAAATACATTCAACCTTTTGCACCAAGTTAGTGATTTAGAGAAGGTCACATGATAACATGTTTTCACCCATCTTAGAAGTTCACACTAATTAGCTAGTCACAGAACAAACCAGTAAATTCAGTGATGGAAGTGCTTGGAATTTTTCAGAATTGATACAGAAGAAAAATGAGATAGTTAGGCAGCCGGTACAATTAGACATACTGACATCGGTTGGAAGGCTTTGACAAGAGCTCTGGTATGACTATGCACTTGGAATCGTCCTGGTATCCAACATAAATTATTGACACCATTCCTCGCATCAGATGGAAACCATTAAGTTATTTTTACCATCCAAATAATTTACTGTACATTTATGAAAAAGTAATTTATTAAATTAATATACTCACTAGTACCCTGCAGGTCAAAAGGTAAAAAGGGTTTTTCTCTCATCACCCTCCTAAACACCAGCTTCTAATTACAACATACATTTCAGTTGAGCAACACACAAAAGAGAAATTGTTTTTCAGTTTCCTTATATCTTTCTTCAGTAAACATGGCAACAAGGGTTAAATTGTTTATTATTCAATCCATTTTCCACACGTCTGTGCTGTCGCTGAGGCTAACAAGGGGAGAGTGGATGTGCTCGGGGGTTTACCCAGGTTCCTCCTCAGACACCTGACTTTCTGTGGCCCCTGAGCTTCTAACTCCATGTGGGGAAAGATGAGCAAAGGAAAAACATGGTTTCCAAGGTGACAGAGAAGTGGAGGTAGAGCACTGAAGCACAGAGCAAGGTTTATATACGGTAAGATACATGAGATCAGCTATGAGATACAAAGATATGTAAGGAAAGGCCTCAATGTTCAGGTTAGAACAATAAAAACAATTCTCTCTGGAATCCTGTTCAACTCAAACATTATTATTATTCTTCCTGGTTATATCTAAGGGTATATAATGATTGACCTACAGTAAATTAGATTAAATGCACATTTTCTGTACAGTTAGAACACAAGTGATACTGAGATTATGCTATAACGTGGAACTTCAGTACCAGGTTACCAAGTGCTTTACCACAAACTATAAAAAAAAGAAATATAAGGTCTAAAAAATAAAGAAAACATTGTTGATATTTCATTACTTGAAATCAAACTAGCTCATCGGATGGAACAATTTGATCTCATGATGAGCTGTGGTCTTAATTGCAATGGACAATGGTTAGTTCTCCTGTGCAGGTCTTCTAGTTCAACAAATAACCTTTAAAGTAAAGAAGTCTAAGAGTACGCAGGCCCATCTGAGGATTTTTGCTGTGACATTGTCTTCAAAGATTGAATTTCAGACTCCTTCATTCTTTCACCAAATAGACAATATTTTGTCACATTGTACTGTATTAATTCTGTCTGAGCAGGTAGAGTTGAGGGGAGTAACAGTAATTTAACAGAATAAGAGTAAGCCGAAAGAAGTGAGAAAGGTCGGTTCAGTGAATCAGATCCAAATCTGCTGGCTGAATTGAGAAGGAGCAGTTGAAAATTTTTTAATCATATCTTTATATCTTAGGGTCAGCTGTGGCACACCAGGTATGTCAACTTGGCTAATATTCTTTTTTCTCAGTGTATTATATTGCGATTGCCGCAGTCTAATTCCATTTTGTTCTGTGAAATGAAGGTGTCAGTCATCTGGGGTGGAAGGCACTGAATGGCCTGATATCACTCTGAAGTCAATGGAAAACAAAAGAAAAAGAAAGATGATGATCTTGCTGCATGACTTAAGAGTGCTCTTTTGTTATTACTGTATTTTTATTACATTATTGGCATTATCTGCTTACACAAAAGGCCCTTTAGAAACTACATATTGCAGACAAGACTTACTGAAATGCATTTTAAGCACAGAAATGATGCTTGAATTAAAACTGAAAATCCTTCACTGAATTGATTCTGACGACTGGGGGGTTTCATTTTGCTTCCAGGGAGAATGATTAACTTTAAGGTGACACATACAGACATACATAATGTTCATACAAAACACTTAAGCTCACAATGTATCATGAACAGCCACTTATTGTAAAGTATTGACCCAAGATTAGACCTTTCTGGGGCTATATATATAGTAAACAGGCTATATAGTCAACATAAAGCTAAAACTTTCCTTGCATTATGTCTTGGAATGTTTTGAAGACAAAATAAAAATAGCTTTGTGAAATAATTTATTTTGCATTTGCTGTTTTCTCTCTGTTTTTTGTCAGAATACTGCAGTATCTATGGAATGATAATTACTGTAATAAAACATATTTTTATTTCATTACACCCTAAACATTCTCCAACAGTTTAAATCTCAAGGAAGGTTTTTGAATCTCAAAGCTGCCTAAAGTACAAGGACACATTACAATTGTCCCAGTGAAAAATACAAAAATATTCAAATATTTCAATAATCTGTCATCAGGTTTTACTGTCATATTTAATACTTTTTTATGTTCTAAACTATTTATTTTCTTATTCATTTTATCTTTCAGGGTTCTTTATGAGAAGTGATTATGCAGAAAGAAAAGTTTATTCATGAAAGCACATTGATGAGATTGGAAATGCCAAACATTTGTGGGGTGCCTTTACAACAAACAGCCTTTCAGATCCATCTCCATATGGTGCTTTGTAAATCTTCTGGAACGATGTAATTGCTTATTGACTGGCAAGCTGTCAAAAATGTTATCAAGGGGGTTCAGCCATTTGACAGCCAGAGCTTTCAATAAGGGGGGAAAAGTTTAAAATATATCCACATGGATGCAGGGGTGACAGAAATGCATTTAAAAGAAATATGATTGATTATCTGCAAGGGACCTGATGGGTTGACTCTGTTTCCTGAAAGGAAGCCTTACCTACCATTTCACCATGACTCTGACTGGGAGGGCAAGGTCACCTGAGGTGGGCATTGTGGAAGTGGCCACAGCCAGAGCAGAAGGCAGGATCACGGGCCAGCACAAATGACAGGATTTAATGGAACAGTGCTCTAATCTTGCGCATGAGCTGCCTTCCACAAAATGAGGTATTGACTCAGACATGGGGAAGGCATTCAGTCAAAGAGCGGAAAAAACAGAACTGTTTTCCTGGCAAGGTAAGGGACAAGGTGGTGACAAGGAGGGCAAATGCTGACAGCCTCTCTGACTTCAGTCGTATTGCTCTGCAATTAACAAATATATAAATTAATAAATATATGTTGAATATACATGTACGTCAATCACCAGATTTGAACTCAGTTGAGTACTTGTTGTCTATCCTAAAATAATCCTTGTAAAAATGCTTTAAATGCCTTTTTTTAGTAACAATGTGTTACAATCTCATTGTTGACAACTGCACATTCATATACTGTAGCATTTAAACACACTTTATAGTCCACAAAGCAAGGACCTCTACTTTTATTTGAAAAAATGTTGTATATGGTTTCAGAATGTACAGGTGTTTCAAAACATGAATGTTTAATTTTGCTTAGTATGTATAGTTATTAATGTTACTCAGCATAAAGTTTATTGTGATTACTTATGACCATTTTGTTCCATCAATGACAACCACTGAATCAATCAAGATTAAACTTATGTACAGCACACTAATAATGCAAGTGGTACATGCACTCATGTGTAGCATTTACATTTTAAACATTGAAAGGAAGGCTGTTAACCTTAGTCAATCTTTACATTTGCGTTAAAAATAATACAAAGCTACGAGACATTGCTGGTGCATCATCTCCACTATTAGACTGTGCCAGTTGCTGGCCCTGGCATTTCATTCTCAAGTGGTTATAAATGCACAGATGCAAGCCAAGTGCAACAATGGGGGCGAGGTCATTGTTTGGTTGAATGCTTGTGTGCAAAAAAACCCAAAGGCATCGAATTCTGATGGAAAACAGCACACAGAGGAGATACAAATCTGTTGCGTGTCACTGCTAAGGGAACTAAAACACCCGTGGCAGAAAAAGCCTTTTATTTATTTTTTTTCAGCTGGGTCTGACAGTAGAATTCCTATTTGTATATTTATGCCTCCTAGTTATATTCCCACAAAAGAGTAATCTCTTTCAAATGATAGGATTTAAGACATTGTACACATTCTCCTTTCACGCTATGGGCAAGGTATATAAACAGAGGTTGGATATCCTGCAAGAGAGTGTCTGGGAACAAAAAGAGATGGACACCCACAAACATATTTATACATGCATCCTGAAACACAAACACTCAGGCATGGGCAGGCATATCTGCACACACTTGATATTGATTGAGAGCACACATGTTTTCATTTCTACATTTTCCCAAGAACATATTGATTTTTTGTTTTCCTTACATTCAAATTATTTTTTAGAATCCATGCATACAAATTTCCCCAAGTAATACCGTACAGTATGGGAAAACACAATTGAAAGAAAGTTTACAAAGCTAAATACTGTACTTAACCACATTTATTTTTACACTGCATTGACACATGTCACTTCTTTTGTAAGCAATAGGAATTCTTCAGCATTTTAATTAATGCTGAAGTTAATTAAAGGTGAAAGCAGTCATGCTTTGATCATATATTGATCCTCTGTAGGGAAAGTGAAATGAGGATGAAGAGTGTTAACAATACCCTTATCATAGACTTAATGCTATTCCAAAGCAATTCATCTACCTGAAGTTACAATGCCTGCTGACAAAGCCAATGTGATATGGTATTCACAGAACACCTTATCTATGCTTCCAGGCTAGAGTGAACATCATTTACATTCGTCAGCCTTGGGTGCATCGTATATTATTCATTTTTCTTAATAAAGTGGTCAGATAAGGCCACACTTCTGTTCATTACAATCTACAGGCCTAATTCCTGAATGCATTCAAACTATATATAAGTAAATTCTTAGTGTTGGATATAGAAAAATAAGTGTTTTTTATGTTAGGTGATGTAAGCTCTGCAGTAATGGATTTACATAAGTAAAAAAGAATATTGTTCCTTTTTTAATTTAACCCACATTTTGCTCCCTGTTACTAAATGTTTCAATTGACTATGGTAATCCCAAAACTGGCATCAAACATGTCACTTATTGTAGATCAAAGACTGCAGGGACAGACTGTGTGCACTCCCAATGGGATATACTCTGGTGAAAACCTTGGCTTTGTCTCCTCTATTATTTTCTCGTGCATTAAGGAAATAGACCCTTTGATTCCTTGCATGCCATAGCAGTGCTATGGCCCGTGGCCTTTATTGCATTGTGAGGGCATTACTTCCACAGATGAGCATTTGGACCAGAAAGCTCCTCTGGCTTTATTATTGCCTTTCATAATTGAAAATAAATGGAAACACATCAGCATCAATACAGTTCAGGGACACATTAATTGGGATAAAACCATCAAATGGCTCTTAAGTATCTTAAATGTGACTTTTTAATAAGATTATGTGGGATCTGCCTGAAAGCACTGCTGGTATTATTGTCCTTAATTTCTGACAATGCTGGGACCACCCTGTAGAGAGGGTGCCTGCTTGTAAAATAATTCCCTATTTAGTTAATCTTCTCTACTCCATTTATCATTCTTTTACTAAATGAACAATATCATCCTATAGGTTGTCCTTAACTACATCCTTATGCCAGTGATGTTAGTTAATTAGGCACTCAGAAAAAGCTTGAATTATTAAAGTTAGAAACGACTTGCGTGGTGTATTTGTTTCACTCTCTCTGGACAGCATCTATAGCCTGGCAATGGCAGCAGTTTCAGGCTGCTGCCAGATTGGTCACTATGGCAACAATTCCACAAAGCCAGGCATCTGACCAGGCGTTGCAATTCATCTATTGATATATTTCACGTATTGGGTGTGATACAATTTCTCTCACAGGTAACTGGCAGGTACAGGAAGACAGATAAACATACAGTACATAAGAAAAAAGGGTACACTTTTGCATCACGAGTTCTTGGTATAATTAAACAAATATTTCCATACATAAATATATAACTAATTCTCTTAACAATATAAAATAATTAAATAATATCCAATTACTGTGCAAATCCGTATCTATTGATAGATGTATCAGCTTTGCTCAACATTTAACTAATGGAAAACTGCTTTCAACAGGTGAGTGTAATATTACATGCTGCATGTTTTCCTTTACCAAGAGAATGATTTCAATGCCGTGCGTATATATATACTGTATACAGTTATATCTGTGTGTTTATGGATATGTATATTAGCAGTTCTTAATGTATCAATGCTTTTTACTACTTCCCGTTAACTGTGTAATCCTCTACAAATAAAATGTTGTTGTATCTTTTCTTTCTCAGAAATTGAGTCAATTTCTGAATAACTTATTGAAGTTATTCAGGGATCTTATAAACGTGATTAATGTTCTTTCTGAGTAATACCTTTAATCTGCTGAAGTGAAATTGTGTTAAATGTTAAAATGATGAGGGATAGAACAACTGTTTGAGTTTTAAATGTACAGATATAATGTGTGAAGGTTTTTCAAAAGTGGGGCAGAGCAGGACACCGAGGAACACATCTTGAGGTGTTAGATGGATATAGGAGAAACAAGGACTTACTGATTATTATAGGCTAAATCAACATTAACAAAGAAAAAGACCTACAGTACCAATGAAGCTGAACACCCCCCACCCCCAACAAAACTAATTACTTTGACATAAAACAAACAAGACTAGATAAGAACAGACTTGCACATGTTTGTTAACTATGTTAAATTTGTTAAAATGCTAGATGGATAACCGCATATTTAAATACTATTACCTAATAGCCACGTCATGCTCTTGTAATTGTATTAATGGGAATGTAACGTGGTTATGAATTAGCATTCATTAATATAACACATTTATATTCATAAAGGCACATCTGTTAGTCAGATAATTGTAAAATAATTAACACATAAATATAGTAGATTTTTATAAAAGTTATACTTTTATGCAATCAATATGGTGTGAAAGTACAACTGCTGGGCATTGACAGAACAATTAGGGACCCATTTTTCATATTAAAAGTTTGTTGTTTTTTTTTTAACAGTTGGACATGTTTTTTATCCAAAGAGGAAATCTAGAACAGAAGGAATGTCTTGATAATTACACAGCCTACAAAATGAAATCCTTCATACATTAGCTACATTAATCATGAAGCTGACCAAGCTGTAATTAAATTAATATACATCCTTTTAGATATTTGTCAGGAAATCGTCCTATAACAGATCTTACATTTAGTTAAGTTTTTCTCTAACTCTCACAAACATTATTGGAGGAGTAGTTGTATTAAACAATTAAGAACTGCAGGCAGCTGACAAAAGCTCTCCCATTTTATATACTGAAGTGGTGTTTTTGTGATTATAAAGCCTATGATCAGGGTTTACACATCAGAGCCTACTGTTTCAATGAGCCCCTGGCTAGATATGACATCTCCAGTGATTACTAAACAGAGAAATGAGGAAGCTGTGTGTGGGAGCTTGTTCTGGGTATACAGCAGATTATATATAAAATTGAAAGAAGCAAAAACTGTATAATGAAAGAACAGATCCATGGTTTCTTTTAGAGTAAAGGTGGAGACCAGCTTAAAGGTGAATCTAATTTAAATCCTGCATCTGATTCAATGCTCATAGAGGCATATGTAGGGAGGCAAAATAGATTGTGCATTAGTGCAGTAAATCACTCAGTCAAAACACCAATAAAAGCCAAAAACCAGACTAGTATAGAAACTTCCTGTAATATTGTATCTCATTTTTGTGTCAGCTTTGGGAGTATTTGCATTTTTTGCTTCAAAACTATGACTGATGCCCAGTGCAACATAGTAGATATCTGTAAGGTTATACCAGAATAGAAATAGTTAACTGAGGTGAGTTCAGCTATGTGGTAATTCAGTTAAAAGCGATTAATTCCTCTTCACACCTAAGGCTAGAAATACTGATTGATTCTCAAGCATAATACGTCTTCCATTTGATAAAAGCAATGTGGATGTCCATAAAGGTTACAAAACATGATGAAGAAATGACTCCATTTAATACACTGATGGGAGCACTGATGCTGTGAAAAAGAGCTCATACTACAAGCTGCATAAATGTACTACTTTTGAGAGTTATCTATCTTACCAGGGATATTTAAAAAAAAGTTTTATTTAAATGAGAAATCAGAAAAATTTACAGCAAATAAAAATGTTAAAGTTTCAATTACTATCATAATTAGATTAATTAATTCAATTAATTAATGTATTCTGTTTTCAATGTTGACAGAGAATGTGAATCCTGTAGCAATATTAGCTCAGAAGTAGGGCATGCAGTAGGTGGTACTGTAGTGTAGCACTGGAGGTGGTACTAGCAAAATTACAATATAATGAACACAATTTTAATCTACAGCATTTAATTACAATTTTGGTTTGACCATTGCATTTGTTGTTGTTAGGGTTTAGAAATTGTGTGCAATTAATTTTAATTTTAACATATTTTGAGGTTTCCACTGTTTTCTGATTCTTGTCTTACAGATGATATGCTGTACTGAACACATCCAGAATAATGAACTGACTTTTAAATTGCATGTAATTTGTTACAGATTAATTAGGATGTCTAGCATTTCTAAATACAAAGACATAAAGACCAAAAAACAACTTTCTTGTTTTATGAAAACATCGAGAACAACTAAATGAGAGGAAAGTTTAATTTATTTGGATACCTTTGAATCTTTCAAAGCTTTTGTCGAAGCCTTTTAGCAGTTTAAATGTTAGTGAATTCAATAAACTGAGCTTTGACATTTAGTGCCTTTTATGCCTGAAAGTCATCATTTTTGCTGACATTTTGACATTTTAAAGGATACTAGATATTTTATATCAAAAAGGAAAGCACATTAAACACCAACAAAACAATTTAGAACACAAATTTATACTTTTTTCTAACACTCCAACATTTTACATGCCTAGGTCCTCACTGCATATATGTTTTTTATTTTTAGTTTTTAACACCTTTTTAGAAAGTAGCAGTGTACGTCATTGTTTTTTTTTTAAATGCAGGTTCCTTACCTGTTGGGTATCGCTCAATGACAGGTAGGTCGTCCACCTGTAGCGTGGCATTGCCACCACTCCTCGTGAAACGTACTATGTGGTACTTTCCGTCATTTACAAACTTTGATGTTTCTTCAATAGTTATGTCATCTGTTCCAACATTAAATACAACTCCAACATTCCCCTTTTCCTGTAGAAACAAAATAGAAAAAAATGATTTAGTGTTTAATTGATTATTCACTACAAATAAAGCTTTCTATATACATTACTAAACACATATGCGTGTTTAACCTTATTATAATTGCTAACGATTAGCAGTCACCCAAAAAATATAATGAACCTCAAGACTCCAGATTCTGTACACCCATGTACTGGATATTTTTTATTATTTTTCAAAAATGGTTCCATTTTCATATTTGATGCTGACTGAGCAATTCCTGAAGAAGTTATAAAATGAAAGTCTGCTATGCTTACAGTATATTCGGAACAGAAATGAGGCATATCTGAAAAAGCAGTCTGATACTATATCTGTGCAATTTTAAAAACAGAGGGAACTCTTACAGACGGCATTGCACAGCAAAAGAAGAACCTCCTGTTCTGTACAAGAACATCCTAAATAAACTTGCATGATGCAAATGTAAACATTTACTAAAATAATTTCATTCCTATGTACAATGCCTCTTGTTAGTTGTGCTAAAAGACTTCCATTTTTGTTCCTGTTATGCATCATGAACATATTTCCATACATACTACATGTTGCTGTTATTTGCTTTAGGGCTTTTTAATTCTGTTTGAGCAAACATTAACCTTCATTTGAGATACTGCTTACTTGTTTAATTTGATTACTACATAGCCAGTGGACACCATGATCAGATATCTACTAATTATATTTTAAAGAATTGTGTAGTAATTGAATTCCATAATTTTGGCTGCGTAATGACATAATGAAATCTACTGGTAATTTGTTACCCTGGTTAATATAAACCAACCATCATGTCTCCAGTTCTAAAATGACTATTTTTGGTGTAGTGTAGTATTAAATATTTTGAAAACAGTTACACACAAAAATAGTAACAAGCTTTAATAATATGCCATATTCTACATAAATGAATTAATGTAAAATAATCCTGGAAATTAAAAATGCCTACTGTGTACTTTGAGCAATCCTTGTGATGTAAAACCATTGATTTAAATACAGTATTTCTTTTTTTAATAATTCAAAAAAATTTAAAAAGATGCATGTTTTAATGTTCTGTAGCTATTAAGTGCCTGAGAATGTATATTTTTCAGACATACTATATGAGACTACAAGTGTCTTTTAGTTGCATTTGTGTTGAATTTCATATGAGATATTGCTGCTTTATAAAGCTGAAAATGTAATCCTGTGAATAAAAAAAAATCTCATGGTAGGGTAGAAGTTTTTTTTTATTTTTAGAACTTCAGATGTCAGCTCATACTAATTAAATGAGGTTTCAGAAAGTGGGAGGTGATGTGAATTTCCAAGCAAATAAGAACTGTTAGCAAGTTGTCTTTCCAGGGACAAAAAAAACCCCAAAACACTATATATAAATCACAAGACTACAAGTTTTTGGTTTGTTTTTCTTCTTTTGAGATGGAAATCCATTTCTATCTTCCTGCATGACACAAATTAATTTTATAACGGATGTGCTGTAATTTACAAAAACATTGTTTGCCCTTCTTTAACAATCTTTGGGTTCTAATTTTTACACATCTTTCCTTGTACTCAAGTCCCATTGATATAAAAGTCAAACTTGTGAATAGCAAATCAATAAAGCGATGTCGAGTTTGCTGCATGTATACTCATAGTCTAAACAGATTCATCATTTCCTTCCCATGCAGACGTTTTGGGAATCTGTAATGTATTATACAGCTTGTCATTGATTGCAATTAGCTGAAGCCAACTGGAAGAAATGACTGCAATTTGTGATTAAAAGTGAGTCGTCTAGCAGATATCAGCTCAAAAGCACAAGGGATTATTTTCTAAACCTAGAATAATGTTAAAGAGAAAATATATGTATTGATCATTTTTGTCTTAGCTAGAGCATACAGTATATAGTATACTGTACTTTCTTTAGATATACAGTATTTTCCATGTTTAATTCTGACCATTTTCAATTTTTTCTTATAATTCACTTAGTCAAAGAAATTGCTTACAATGATTGCAGTCATTTTTTACCTTATTTTAAAAAGACTTCCTAAACTATATTAGTGACAATTTTAAAATAATATTAAAACAGTCAGTATCATGTGTGAAGCCAGTACATGCTACACAACAGATGTTCATCGATTGTGTTGGAACATTTACGTGGGGGATCTTGGTCCAAGACACCGGGCAATTTAGTTAGTAGAACATCAGATTTTTAATCCAAGAATCAAAAGCTGAAATCCCTGTGAGTCAATTTCCTTAAGCAAAAGGAAGAGATGTTCGGCTGCTGCCTTATACAGTAGCTCTCAGATCATGGGGTTTGATTCTAGCCCAGGGTTTCTTTAGTAGGTAGTTTGATTGTTCTCCACACGTTCATGTGAGATTTCTCTAGGTGCTCTTTATTCTTCTCAACTTCTATACACTGGTTAAGTTCTTTGGTATCTCTAAATTAAGTATGTTCTGTAGATATTTAGGAGAAAGTGTAGTCTCACCTTGCATCCTAGAGCTTTGAGACAATCTGCAGAATGTCATGATCCTTAGCAGGAATAAGAGACTGTCTAATGATTCATGGATGGGTATCCTGCTCCAATTTCTCATTAAAAGGAACCTCCAACAACTGACAATTGAATGTGAGATCCACATTTTTTCCAAATCATTCATTTTTAAATCGTTTTCTTCTTAGTCAATTTTGTATGCTTACACACATATTCAGAAACATGCATGCATACTTCTGTGAATGTTTTAGCACTTTCCAACCAGAGAACGTTGTATGTTAATTGGTAAAATTAGTTTGAAATCTGGACATATGTTTTATTGTTTTACCTTTATTTAAATTCTGAGCTTGTGGCTTTTCTGACATGCAAAAATTCCTCATACAATGTTTTGATGACATAATTTCAATTCCTAGAACCATGATTAATTATCTAGAGGACTGAGCTGCTCCAACAAAACCCCCTTAAAACACAACTGCTAATCGAGACATATGGTTGGAAGCACCACAAAGCAGCGTGCTGTATGTGCTTATCCACTCAGCATCATTTTGTTACTGTATCAAATCGGATTTTCTCTCCTAATGTGCAGCGAAGCACTTATCTGATTAGCAGTCATCTATATCAAACATCTTTTAAGAGCCAAAAGCTATCATGATTAAACTTAAAATTTAGCTATCTTACACACAGTACACAGTACATGTTTTACTATACCTTCTTCTTAAATGTGTTTATTAAAAGACATCACTGTAACACCACTAAACAGTTTTAATATAATGTTCTCATCTATTTTGATAATTACAAAATAACATATACTGTACATACACAGATACACATTTATCCTAACAGGGAACTTTGTATTTTATCCCTATAGTCCTATCCAGTACAGAACAGTAGAATGTTAGATTAAGCAACACTTCCTAAATTAGATATATAAAAAATGTCTTTTAGGGTATACAGTAACTGAATTATGAATATTATTCTATGCCTCTTCTGTAAATACTTTTTTTAATTTAAATACTATTTTAAATTAGAAAAAATATAAAACTTTTTTTCTAGGCTTCAAAGTACTGTATTGTAAATATACCATCAGCCAGCAATGTCTTTTCAATTATTAACTGCTAAAGACAATTTGAAACTAAATACTTAAAAGTGACACAAATTATTATATCATTTAAGAATCTAAGAACTTGGAGTTGGAGTGATAAACCACCAGCCAAGGGATGGAAACTGATTTCTCCACTTTAAGTATATACTGAACATATCCCAATATTACACATGTTAATGTAATCCTTTATCACAGCATGCAGCTGGAAAAGTAAGAGAACAAATTTCCCATTTACAGGACAAAGTATGAGTACTTATTAAGCTGCATTTATTTAAAGAATAATATTACTGAAAAAAAATTAAAATGTTATAACCTAAGGTATGGTCTCTTTACTTAAATATTAATCACTTAAAGCACAAATTAACAGGAACCCCTGTGAATGATCTTAAAGCACAACAAATTAGTAAGAATCACTGAGTGATTTTTCTTTAAAACCAAATTAATGCTCACAGAAGGGGCCTGTGACACAGAGAGATTTCAGCATAATGGTAATTGCATCTCTGCCTTCATTTCAACATCCATCACAATGTGAACATACTGTATCTTCTTTCTCCTAGGTAGGAAAGGATTTGAATGGCAGCATGAATTTTAAAAAAATAGAAATTCATATTAAACACATAACACCATTATAAGATATTTAAGCATTTGGTTGATTTTATAGATAAGGATGGCCAATTATCGGTGCAACAATTTTGTCTTTATCTACTGGGGGATTATTTGGGACTAAACAGAAAAAATATGTCTTCCATTGCATGCTATTTATTATGGAGACATTCTTGTTTCTGTCTTTTATCTGTAAATATTACTGCTGTGTTAGAAGCAATACTAACTCTGGCTATACCATAAACCAACACAGTTTGGTATAATGAATTCCAATGGGATTTCCTTACAAAGGATTATGCAGTAGGGGGCATCTACTACCAAGCAGTGTCAAATGCATAAAAAGACTTACTAATTCATACTTTTATGACTCCTTTAATTGATGTCAAAAGAGAATTTAGTGGCTACAAAGCTAATTAAACCAAAGTTTTAATACTATCCTTCAATGACCCTTTAATAGCCTCCTATGTCCTGTTAATGAACACAATGGCTTTTTTACATATCATCTGAAGTTTATGGAAATTATTTTCTGATTAAAGGAGGAATTTCTATTTATTTAATCATAAGAAGAATATGTTTATTCATCCAAGGTGTTTTGTAAATGTAAGTCATACAAAGTCAAACATTTATAAAAAATAAAACCTCAACCCAATCCATTAGTAAATCAATAATCTGCAGAACATGCTCTTAATTTACAACAAGCTATTAACACATAGCATTAAGAGAGCACTTTCCATATGTATAAGTTATTACTGAATGCCATCTACTGCATATCCTTCCAGCCTATACGTAACAAATATGATCATCACTTATCATGAACATAGGAG